GGGGGGGCGAGTGGTTCGTACTGTAGCGTGGTGCCCGCGCGGCCTGTCCGGCACATATCACCAAGCGACATTCCTCCCGGGCGGTCGGCCGTGTGTGATGCCCAAATGCTGGTGTACACCTTTCTCCGGACGCAATAAAGGCACCGGTGACCGGCGGGGGGAATATGTGCGGGCAAATTCCGCAAGCCGTTGGCGCGCGGTCCTTCCTTCCTCGGGCATCAGGCGCGCCCGGGTGTGCGGGGGGATCGGGGTGGAACCGCAGGGCGTTGTTATTCCCCGCTCCGGCGGCGCCTGGGGGCTGATGGATGGTGGAGGATCCCCGCGGGATTGGGTCCGCCGGCATGTGAATGCCTGGCTGGCAGGCTCGGGCGTGGCAAGGAGCGGGACGTTGGGCAACGCGCGCGGGGGGGCGGGGGGAAGGCGTGGCGATGCGTTCCTTGGGCTGAAACGGCCAGATCCGGCACATCGGCCGGAACCCGCGCGGGTGTCTTGGAATCGCCCCTGCCCCCTGTTCCCCGAGTCCCTGGCTGGCGGGGGCGGCGCGCGAGGCGCGCGCCTGGAGAATGGGGAGGGGGTTGGCATTCCGCAATGGTCTGGCTGGGTCAATGGCGGTGCCATTTTTCGGGCCAGAGGCTGCGGCCTGCCCGCGAGCGCCCGGTGTTGGGGTGGTGCCCTCCGAGGGCCGGAGGTGAGTTCTCGCCCAGGGGCAGGGCTCCAGGCGCGCCTTCAAAAGGAAACCAGCACACAATGGGCAGTGTATGTGGATGCAACGGCGAAGGGCTGGCCGGCGGCCGGGTGGATGTGCCGGACCCGTGCCGTGCCGTGCCGTGTCGTGCCGTGCCGTGCCGTGCCGTGCCGTGCCGTGCCGTGCCGTGCCGTGCCGTGCCGAGACCTGCCGAGCCAGGTCGGGGCACACCCCCGGGACCAGGTTGGGGGGTGGGCCCGAGGACCGGGGGCGCGCACGCCATGAGAGCATGGGTCGACTGGTGATGACACACAGCGCCGTGCACGCCCCCTTGGAGCCGAGGACGCGGCGAGGTCGTGGCGCCGGCACGGCTTCCGTTGAGCTCGCCCGGGGGTGGCCCAAGAAGTCAGAGGAGCCGAATCGTGGGGCTCTGGTGGGCCGCCAAGAGGCCGGCGACTGCACTCACGCCGGTGCGCGCGGCGGCGCCCGAGCGTGGGCCGCGTGTCCATCACCACCTGGGGAAGGCCCAGCCGCCTACCGAATGTGGCAGCCGGGGGGAATTAATGGTGTCAGTGAGCCCGTTCCAGACCCCGGAGCACCCTGAGAATGACCCCCTCTCGGGGAGTTGAGCTGGCCAGTGTTCCTCGGCTGGCTGAGCGCATTCGACCGCACGCCAGCCCATGCATGTTGGGCCTTCCGCTGAGGCAGGCAGCAGTCGCCAACTTCATGGCAAGGGGTCGGCCCGCGGCCGACACCGTCTCATTGTCCAGGAGCCGGTCGCCCCGAAGGGCAGGAAGGGGGGGGGGGGCGCGGAAGAGCCAGGCGACCGAGGACGTCCAGACAAAGAGTCAAGTCGGGGACACGAGCGAGAAGGACCGAGAAGCGGGGGCATTCCGCTGCCGGCTGGGGAGCCCCACACAGGGCCCCCTTCGCGGTGGGGGGCAACGGGCTTTCACATCGGGCTTCCCCCAGGGGGTGCGCGAGGGGGGGGGGGG